ACTCTGCCTGTTGGTCTGCTCGCCCCCAACTTCCCACCATGCCAGTGTGCTCATCTTCGACTGCCCCCCTTGATGGTCTGCTCGCCCCTACCTACCCTCCCACTGGCCTTCTCACCCCCAACTGCCCCCTGCTGGCCTGCTTACCCCAAACTGCCGCCTCTCCCCCCGCTGTCCTGATCACCCCCAACTGAAACCCACTAACGACCTACTCACCACCAACTGGCCCCCTTGCTGGTCTGCTCATCCCCAACAGTGCCCCCTTCACCAACCTGATCACCCCCAATGCCCCATTCCCCACTGGCCTGATGACCCACAACTGTCCTCCCCTCTTGGCTTCTAACCACCTCTATCTCAGCCCTGCCACCATGGCTTTGTCCAGAAAAATATCTGAAGGGTCACCTGGAAGGTCTCCCAGTCTAGTTAGCATATTACCCTTTTATTAGTATATTACAGATAGAAGCCTGCTGCACCAGTGGGGGACAGTTGGTTTGCCCTGAAGGGTGTTCCAGATAAGGATGGGGGTTCCCTTGGGGCATGGGGCAGCCTGGGTGAGGGGCTGATGACTGTTTGCAGGCTGGCCATGCCCCCCAGCGGGAACTCTTACTCCATGGGGGTGTGGCAAGCCTGGGTAGGGGGCTGAGGGTCATTTTCAGGCTGGCCATGCCCCCAGTGATCCAGACTCCCAGCCCCTCCTTGAGCTCAGGCCAAGGTGGGCGGGAAGCTTAGCAGGGGGAACCCAAGCCTCTTGCTCACTCCAGCTCCATGACAGCTGCTATCTTTGTTGGGTTAATTTGCAAACTCACTCCTGATTGGCTGTTGGGTATAGCAGAGAGATGGTCAATTTGCATGTTTCTCTTTTAGTGGTGTAGATAATGTTTACATATAAAATGCCAACTTAATAAACATTAAAATAAGAATGAACAAAACTGAGCTGCCATACTTCTAACCACTCACTTTCAAAGTACATTAACACTCCTATTTAAATACACAGAATACAAAACCTTATTTTTGCAGATGCTTAGTGTTCATAAACACTTTTACTTATCTCACCTAATACTATAAAAATTGTGTGAGATAGTTATTTTACAATGAGAGAAGTAAGGTTAAAACAGCTTCCCTAGGAAAAGCACAGAGAGAAAGCAAAAGCAAGTATTTCCAAAACCTAATCCACCAACCCATCTCTGTCAACTGCTTGGAGAACATGCAACTGTGCATTTGATACAAACTCCAGGACATCCCTAATCGTAACAAGTCAAGCAAAGCAGACAGTCTGGGTCTGGGGGCATTATTGCTACTAAGAGAATCTGAATTTTCATGTGCTTTGACTTTGCAAGGCAAGGTGGTTGGGGAAACAGAGCTAAAATCTTAATGTGCTAATATTATCTCAAACCAGGTTTCTGCATATCAAGTTCCTGGAAGATCAGATGGGGAGTCTGTGAGTATTGAGGCCAAGACAGAGAATTGACCTTTCTGAGCAGCAGATTTGCAGCAACTGAATGCAAAGTGACAGCAATGTTTCAAAAGATAAAAATTAGCAGAAGAATTCATATGGTTTATATAGAAATCTGTGGGTAAAGATTTAGGATATAAAACCTTAAATTATATTCAAAGTTGGAAATAATTTTTAAAATATGTTTAAAACAATAAGCAATACAGTTTTCTAGAATTATTATTATTACAATATCCTCTATAGAAAGAAAAAAAATATAGGAACTCACAGGCATCATAAATTACAAGTGGCTGGACTAAAGAACTACCAGTTCTAATTGGGTTACCCAGAGACACAATCCCTCTCTCTTTTTTAGCAAAAGCATTAAGATTATTTGTCTTCTGACCTCCCACAATGGTTGAGCATACAAAGATGAAGGTTCATTCCATCCTTCAAATGTTCCTAGTATTTACAGGCTACATAAAATGAGATATGTCATATAGACAGAGTCAAATGTTCTGCCTGCAAGAGTAAGTTAGTAGTCTGCTTATATTCTGAAAACATGCTTCCATTTAGAAAAGCGGTCACCAACAGGTCGTGGTCTGAGGATCACTGGTGGCCTGTATAGTCCAAAAGTTTGGTTTAGAAAGCATGCGATGCTTTCCAATAAAACATTTGTAAAAGGTAAAGAGAAAAGCTATTTCATAGACTGTCTTAACATACAAAACATGCTCAAAGTTCAGCTTAACTCCATAATCTCCATCTAATTTCAGTAGAGCAAGAAAAACTTAGAACCATGCCCAAAACGTATGCATAAGCATTGGTATTATGAAGGATTTCAAAATAAGTTTCCGTAAAGACCCACACAAATGCCTGTGTGCCTAACTCCCAGAAGTAGAGTGCCAATTTTTCTGTCTCTTGGTGAACTATGATCTGGCCTCAGTTTTTCAATTGCAACAGAGGTTGTGCTCTGGTAAGACTTCACTCCAATAGCAGCAATGTGCATTCTCTACACTAGCATCATTAGCCCCAAACATGGATGCTGCAATAACTCCCAAATGCAAACTCCTCTCCCACACTATGCTTTCATCCAAATAAAAGGAGAGGGTTAAAGAGGCAAACCACACATATTGTAACAACATCATTGTACCTATCTGGCATAGATAAGACCCAATTCAAATCTTATGGGTTAGTCCTCTGGCTCCACAGTGATGGTGACTGGGTTAATTTTGCCAGAAGCGGCTGCTGCCTGCTCCTATCACCCGACCTTTCCACAAGCACACCTTCCAAGGAAATGAAGCAGGCCGCCTAAACCCCAAAACTTATTTTCAAGCACCCTTTCTATAATTCCCAAGACATTGTAATATCCTCTTATTTTCAAAAGTTCTTAGAGTTCATAGAAAACACTTTCACATATATTATCTAACCTCCAAAAATTCTAAAGGCAGGCCTTTTTCAGATGAAAGAACTGATTTGCCCAAGGTATCTGAAACTTGTTTTAAAGTTGAGACCTCTAATTTTGGGTCTACTGCTTACTTGTCCACGTAGCACAGGACACTCACTACTCTATCTTCACGTGGAAAGTCAGGGTCCCATCCTGGCAAGCCCAGCGATTGACTTGTAGCTGCGCTGAGAACCCTGAGGGGCAGCACAAAGTACACGTGATTATGTGTCCTAACAGCAAATGCCCAGATGTGCTACAGTTTGATTCTTTCAAAGAGTCAGAGAGCCAATTAGGTATTGACAAATTAAACAGTATGTCAGAACCTCAGTTTGAGATAAGAGCAAAGCAACCATTCTAAAAATACTCCACCAAAATACAGAAGATTGCTGTGGGCTCAGAGAAAGGCAGTGGCTCATTTCCTTCCGTACATACCATGCCCTCCCAACCACTTCTGTTTCTTGGCACGACTCGTAACCAAGGAAGTTCTCTAAAGTATCTTCTCCTCCCTCCAGATCTAAGCTACTACTATTTTCCTAGTGGTCTTAGTAAAATACTTCCTCCACCAATCTTAAAGATTGACTTCCCTGGGAAATATGGAGAGTCACTTTGAAAACATGAGCCCTGGGTAGAATGTATTTGTCCCACTTCCAATTTTCCCCTGCCCTTTCCTGACCTAACCCTATACCACCTGTGCCCTACCTATCCCCCTCATCCTTCCCCACATCGATCCATCTGCATCTAGACCCATTTTTTTTCTCAAACAGATAGACTGCAAAAAAATATTGCATAGCCTGTGATTTCTCTTCTCTGTAGCAGTGAAAAATCAAGGTTGGTTAGTGTTCCACTTTTATAGAGGCTAGATACTTGGGGATCTTACACATAGGATTCTGCAGTCTGTACTTCTGATGTGTAGGATTTGCAGGCAATAGAATGTGAGAATCACAAGGGATGTGTTCCGACAAGCCTATGGAATCCCAAATTCACAAACACTATCATATCTTTCAACTTTCCTGATGAAAAGAAATAATATGAAATTCTAGGAGGGTTATTGTATCTGACCTCCAATAACAGCAGAAGGCGAGCCTCGGAGGCAGAGGTTGGGGTCTGTGAGCACTGAATGGTTAGGTACTTTACTTTGGCTCTCATATTCTCGGCCTGCAAGGTTCAAACCCATGTTTCAGTAAGACTTTACTCCATGTCATGGCCTTTCTGGATCACTTCTGGAAACTAAAGAGTGTGAATGTTATAGAGCCATAACTGCATTAGGTCTCCAGAGTCCTGTCCTCCATTCTACCAAAGCCTGCTCCTACGGGTCTCCATGTGATTGCTGTTATCTGAAAAGATAGCAAAGAAACATTTCTCTTTATAGAGATAAACTGTGTCAAAGATGTATTCAACTGTGAAGAAACAGAGGCCTGAACTTTCCTAAACCAGGAAGATCTGTTCACTAGACTCAAACAGACTTTACAAATACACTATGCCACAAAGTGGCCACTAACCACATGTGGCCGTGGAATACTTGACATAAACCTGATCTGAATTGAGATGTGCAGTCAGCGTAAAGAAAGCCTACTTGATTTTGAAGACTTAGAATAAAAAAAAAAAAGGAAAATATATCATTTAAAAAGTACTTAGCAAATGGTTGAAATGGAAGGATTTTAGATATACTATTGTAAACAAAACATTACTAAAATTCTTGTCACTGATTTATTTTTACTTTTTTAATATGCCTCCCAGCAAATTCAAAATTACAAGTGTGACTGCATTGTACTTACAGTCTATTTCTATTGGATGCACTCTTTACACAAAACCCACAGCTTCTGGAAGGGTTTGCTGCTAGAGAAAGGTTGAGCATGTTTACGGTCTGATATGAGGTCCTCTTTTTAAAAACCAGACTCTTCTTATAGACTGTTATTGTACAGACCACCAGCAAACAAAGCATGCCTCTGGCTCCAGGCTGCCCCCCTGGGCAGGTCACACCTGCGTGGTCCCCTCTGATGAGGCAGAGGCTGTGCACAGCAGCAAGGTCCCGGGGCCCCAAGGCTCTACTCTCCTTTCCTTATTCATGTTGCATTCCTTTAGTCATTTTTAATATCTCCAAATAATGCAGAAAAAACAGCAACTTACAGATTTTGAGATGGTGAATCCGCTGCTGGAATACACAGGTATTTAACCCCCTGCAGAATGATAAAAAATAAATTTAAAAGATGATATGCAGTATAGAAAAATATTTGAAGGAACTATTTACTAAGGTCAAAAAAATAAAAAGGAGAAGTTTTTCACTCATCTTTTGTTGCCAAGGAACTGGGGAAGACTCTTTAATTAAGGTTCCTGATTATTTTCCATGATGACTGTGTGCACAAATGTTCATGCTCCGGTATGGAAGCAGCTTGTGGACAGGGGTATATCAAAAAGTGAAATAACGGGGTGCTTCCCAGTAGGTGGTACAAATTCCAGAGCCCTCACCACAGATGCTTGTTTATATGTTTCACATTTTTGTCAATTTTGTTTATGATCCATTGGTAGTAAAAACTTTAATATGATATCTAAAAATTGTAACATTATGATACAGTTTCTTTATCAAATTTAGTATGAGGATATTTCAATTTCACTGATGAACCTACCTGATAGAAGGAGTTTCTACACATGGGAAATAATGTGATTTATTATGTCTCCTTTCCTGAAAAGCAAAACTTATTTACTAAACTAATAGGTTCTTAAAAAAGAATAAACAGTTTGAGAAAAAAAACTTCATATAAAAATTTATTAAAACTCTAAGAATTTTATAAAAAACAGGTTAAATTTCGGTTTTATTAAATTTTAGTTGTTTCTTCTTCAGAGGGACTTAAAGTATAGTTTAAAAGGTTTTCAGTGTCAAGTGAAAATACAAAGTGTAAATGTCTCAGCAACCTTGGCTTCATAAAAACTTAGATGGACCATTTTTAAGCCTCCTCTCCTGGTAGCCTAACCTCCTGGACTCTTGCCACTGTATCTTTAGAAATAAGTGTGTGGGAACACATCAGAAACTGGAACAAAAACCAATGTAAGAGAGTAAATGAAGGACAAGCATGTAGAATAGTTTAGACCAATGGTCAGCAAACTCATTAGTCAACAGAGCCAAATCTCAACAGTACAATGATTGAAATTGCTTTTGAGAGCCATATTTTTTAACTCAAACTTCTAACGCTACTTTTTCAAAATAGACTCGTCCAGGCTGTGGAAGAGCCACACTCAAGGGGCCAAAGAGCCGCATGTGGCTCGCTAGCCGGGTTTAGACAATATAGTTCTCTCAGCAGACAAAGTCATAAAATAATGTCTTCTAGGATTTTTGAAAAGTTTGCAGTTGTTTATTAAAATTTTACTATTGACTCCTGTCATTAGAAATATCTATGCTATACTTACTAATGTAGTCTTATAAGGAACGTCTAAATTTGTGGCTGCCCCAAACCCTGTCAGTTTCACGTTTAAAAAAATATCTCTATATATATATTTGTATTGATTTCAGAGAAAAAGGGAGAGAGAGAAACATCAATGAGAAGAGAGAATCATTGATTGGTCTCCTCTTGTACCCCCACTCCCTGCAACTGGGAATCAAGTGCTCAAACTGGGCATGTGCCCCCACCTAATCAAACCATGATATGATGGTTCACATTTAATACCCAGCCGAGAGAGGAGAGAGGGGAGAGGGGAGAGGGGGGAGAGAAAAGGGAAGAGGGGAGAGGGGTTAGAGGACAGGGGACAGGGGAGAGAGAAGAAGAAGAAGGGAGAAAATGAATATCATTGATTGGTTGCCTCCCTTACACATCCCAACTGAGGACTGAACCTAAATCCTAGGTTTTTGCCCAGACTGGTAATTGAACCTGCAAACTTTTGGTGATGGCACAAAGCTCCAACCAAGCCAATCCAGCCAGGACACAGCTCCACATTTTGATGCTCCCTTACATAATGAACCCCACTTTCTCAATACGAAGTCCACACCAACTACATTTCTCAACCTCCTTTGCTTTTAGAGTGCAGACTCAGGGCCGGGTTTTATCATCTGACAAACTCACACCAGGCAGATTGGATACAGAACATGGGAAGAGTAGAATGGGTAGAAAGCACCTGTTTGGCAGGTGCAGATGGTGGCAGAGGTGGCACCAGACCTCACTGGGTCAGTTGTATGATGTAGTCTGGGTATTGTTCAGAAAATTTCAGCTGAAATTCTATTTCTCCAGTTCTTCTGAGGAGACCATAAACAAGCTCTCAACAAACCCATTCCTGCTGATGCAAACTCAGCATGAAACCTGTTGTCTGCCATGAAGACCCAAGTGAGAGAATTCCACTTCCTGTCTCCTATTTTTATGAGAGGCTAGGAAAAAAAAAAAAAATTCCCTACTTAGTTCCCATACATACATTTTTCCAGATTTGAGTCAATCATTACATCTCCGAACAAACGGTCCTTTGGACCTTGAAGAAGACATGTTTTATCAATGCTTGTTCAGATGGGAACACTTCATGTGAGTTTGTACAGGCTTTAATGCACCAAGGATAAAAATTAAGGATTAGTTGCCAGAAGAAATCGAATCAGCATATTCTTCCTCCTTCATGTCTGGCTCTGTGGTCCTCAATTGCTCCCTCTGTCTCTGTCCTCATTTCCCTGGATGCGGTGCTGTGCTTTGAGGAAGGACTGAGGTAGTTGTTTAAAGTTCCCAAGCACCTCCAAAATCAGACAGGTATTGGCACAGTAATTTAAAGGGAAAGACAATGGAAATGGACATTATACTGTAAAAAGAAGTCATTTTACTCCTTCCTTCCAGAGAGGCCAAACAAGCTTGTTGGTGTAGATCACACACTGATCATTTCATATATCCGCCACTGAAATGACTCACTTTTTTTCTTACTTTTAAGTGAGAGATGGCCATGGATCAGGCCCAAAAGCTTGTGAAATTCTTTCCTCTAGACACTTCTTCCAACCTCTTTCAGAATACTCCAGAGGGATAAGAGGATTTTCAGGTTCCCACTTTCCCTTCCATTGTGATTATCAGTCCAAGCAACATAAATTAATCAAAAATGCTGAGGTGGTTCCCCTCACAGAGAGTGAAGACGCTTGCCTGTCACACATGCTGACGGGCAACCACTTGATTCTAGCAGAATCTAAAGTCAGCCTAATCCATATATTGGAGGAAAGAAAAAATGAAGGAAAGAAAGAAAGTGGCAAGAAGGGGAGGCTAAAAAATCTTAGCTTATTTAGAGCATTAAATGCCAACAGCAATGTGGTTAGAAAGCACTGTGTTTCCTTTAGGCATAATGTACAAGGAAAGGAGGCCAGCCCCACAAGGCAGGAAAATGACAAAGGGGACCCCTTCCTTCCTAAGCTATAGCAGATGAGGAGGGACAAGGCATCTTTGGAGGAGGATGCTTAAGTCTGTGGTGTACCTCTCTTCTTCCTTTGCTGACTGGGATTGAGATGTGGAATCTCAATCTGTGAAGTTTCTAAGGAAGAACAAAGTTGCTCTCGGCCAGGAGTTTGGGGACCCCATACTGTTAAGGCAGGACAGAAGAAAATATAAAACCTAAGATAGGATCTCTCAAAGATATAACACTAACCTTCCCTGGAATGGTGCCTGACACATAGCGCTCACTAAATGAGTACTGATAATGAAAACAAGGTGAAAAACTATTAACATGAAGATCACACTTATAAGAAGTGCAGGGGAAGGAAAATGTTGCCAAGCACCTATGCCTTATCCCTGTGAAGAAGGAAACCAGGCCGGACCTGCAGTCACACTGCGCAAGGGCACACTGCATGACTCTGCAGACACCGATCTCCTGCCTGCCTGCTCCCGTGGGACCAGCTAAGATGTATCTCACTGTGATCTACAATGAGAAGGGAACAGCCTATGCAAATGAGTAAAGAAAGGAGTCAAAACTGTCAAAATGCTCAGCTGCTTGCCCCAAGAACATCTATTTATCTTGGCTTAGTCATTAACAAAGCACAGAAAGTATCTCTCTTGGAGGCCACAGGCTACAGAACATCAAGTACCTGAAAGAGGCTTTGGATGCCTGCACATGCGTACAGTGCATAGCCGTTAATTACTAATTCAGAAAGCAGCAGGAGTGGGGCAGCACGGAGGATCATAACACCATGAGAAGTCTGGATAAACCTAAAATTATCCTAGTAGCAACAGGCCTAGCTCTGCAAATGTAATGTAGAATTGATATTTCTTTTAATTGGACCTAAATAAGGCCATTCTCTAGTACTGAGGTCCATAGAGACAGAGACATCCTATCTATGTCTGTAGCTAAATTATGGAAAGTATATCAAACTTAAAGTAAAACAAAAGAATATAAATATTCTAGAACAATCTAAAAAAATATCCTAAATTCTAAAAATAGCAGCATTCCTATTAGTATAGCATTCTAGATATTTACTACTTCATATTACCTCTAATATCTAAAAAAATCTTGCCGGGACCAGTTTGGCTCAATGGATAGAACGTTGGCTTGGGGACAGAAGGGTCCCGGGTTCGATTCCGGTCAAGGGCATGTACTTTGGTTGCGGGCAGATCCCCGGTAGGGGGTGTGCAAGAGGCAGCTGATCGATGACTCTCTCTCATCGATGTTTCTACTCTCTATCTCTCTCCCTTCCTCTCTGTACAAAATCAATAAAATATATTTTAAAAAAAGAAATAACTAAAAAATAAAAAATAAAAAAATAAAAAAATCTATGAAGCTAAAATTGATTATCTCCCTTTCAAAAGAAAATTCTTAATAAATAAATAAATAAAAACTCAGTACTTTCCATGATGTTTCAAAAAATGGTTGGTGGAAAACCAATTAATATTAAACTTTTGTGGAGCTAATAAATGTCACGTTGCAGATTTTCAGTTCAGACAGCTGGCCCAAGACTGCATTAAAATACAGACCTTCCCCCAACCCCCCTCCCAAAAACTGAGTCTATGCATTAAGACTCTCATGATTTCTATGAAGGAAAAGAAAGAGCAGCTCCTTTCTTTTGGCAATTTAAATGGCCTGACATGTTCAGAGAATGGCCTAAGAGGGAACTAGGGAGAGAAAAAAGGCAGAGATTTCTAGGAAAGTCCTTATCCACAATGACCACATGCGTAGGGCATGTTCATAATACCAAGGAGCATACCAACCAGCAGACATGATGTAGAAAAGATTAGGAAAACAC